TCAAAGTCTCTGAGCCACCCTCTGCTGGGAAATGTAACAACGGGAGTTCTTACCTTCCAGATAGTCATGGGCAATGAGATAACTCATGGCACATAGTAAGACTGAAAAAAATGGTAGCTACCTGGCTGGCCTCTGCTGCTGTGAGGACACAGCCCAACTGGGGCAGTGACTATCCATGCTTGTGAACTCACGGTCCTGAGTGATGACCTTTCCAGAAGTCATCCACTGAATCAGCCCACAGGAGGTGGGGGTTATGAGATGCGGTTTCCTAACCCCTACGCCATGGTATCCTGTATGTGTTGGTATATGTGACTGCCAGTAGCCCAGTGGATGGCCCCCACCCTGGACTGACGATGAACATGCTAGTCAGGACATCCCAAGGAGTTTGCTCCCCATGAAGACAGTGTGACAACATGGGACAAGGCTCAAGGCCTAGAATGGGTTAGCACCTGCTCCCAGGCCAGCCCTGCCATCTACCCACTATGTGGCCTTAAAGTGCTGCCCAATCACTTTTCTAATCTATGAAGGAGGGTTGCTAGTATTCTTGGCCCAGCCTCTCTCCAGGGCTGCTCTGGCTCTGCTCGAATGCTGATAACTCAGCTATTCCTCTCTATGTGCAAGCTCAGCCAATGTGTTTTGTTCATATAACCCTGTAACACCCATGTGGAACTCCATGTTTCCAACAGAGAGGTGAAAACACGGCACAGTTAAGAAATGTCCCTATAGGCCAGGCATGGTAGTCCATGCCTATAATCCTAGCATTCTGGGAAGCTAAAGCAGGTGGATTGCTTGAGCTCAGGAGTTCAAGACCAGGCTAAGCAAGAATGAGACCCCCATCTCTACTAAAAATAGAAAAAAGTAGCTGAGCATTGTGGCAGGCACCTCTAGTCCCAGCTATTCAGGAGACTTAGGCAGGAGGATCACTTGAACCTAGGAGTTTGCTGTGAGCTAGGCTGAGGCCAGGGCACTCTAGCCTGGGAAACTCTATCTAAAAAAAAAAAGAAAGAAAGAAAGAAAAAGACATGTCCCTACAGCAAGTCCACATTGGGCAGAATTTGCACTTGGCTCTGCCACTCTGAAATCCTACCATCTGAGGGGTAGCAGGGCTATACGAAAGGGACTCATACTGCCCCCCTTAACCTCAGAGTACTACTGCCAAAAGGCAGCAAGGGAGTTTGGGTCAGTCCAGAAGAGGCTCTGAGACCTCACCCAGCCCCCGACTCCTAGCCCAGGCATTGACCATTTGCCTCTCCACACAGTTGGCCCAGGCCTGAACATCCAGCACCTCCCTCACTGGGCGCCATTTCCTGGTCTGTACAATGATGTTGATAATCTCTTGCACACAGGGTGGTAGTAAAATAATGACTCCTCAAGCCAGTCAAGGTGGCTCACACTTGTAATCCCAATCCTCTGGGAGGCTAAGGCAAGTGGATTGCTTGAGCTCAGGAGTTCCAGACTAGCCTCAGCAAGAATGAGACCTCATCTCTACTAAAAATAGAAAAACTAGCTGGACACTGTGGCAGGCACCTGTAGTCTCATCTACTCTGAAGGCTGAGGAGTTTGAGGTTGCTGTGAGCTATGACTTGACAGCACTCTACCTAAGGCAACAGAGTAAAACTCTGTCTCAAAAAATAAACAAAATAAAATAATATAATGACCACCCAGTGTCCATCATGTTGCTAGCCTGCACTGGGAGAGGACAGAGCTACAGAGAGGGTAGGAGGATCCAAGAGCAGTGGGACTTATATCCCCTTGCCACGTAGAACCCCAAGGAGGCCAGACCCCAGGTGACAAAGGCACAGGGTGTCTCAACAGCACTGCAGAGGTCCCTGGGCTTGACTGCAAGGTGGGAGCTATGGGATGATGACCATGGTTCCCAGAGTGGGCCCTAGGCTACAGAAGGGATCTTTGCCAGCCCCTGGGTCAATGGAGAGATCCCTAGGTGCCCAAAAGCAGAGCAGAGAAAAAGCCAGACCCATAGAGCCTCAGATGGGCATCAAGGGAGAGCAGTAGAAAGGGGAAGATGATCAGAGGGCTCAGCACTGACCATGACCAGGGCAGGCCCGCAGGCCCCATACCTAGGTCCAGGAGCTCTGTAGGAGACCCATAACATTTGCAGCTGGGCAGGAGTACAGGGGAACAGAACACCAAAGGAAAGGGCAAAAAAGGAAAAGAAAAAGACAAAACCAAAATTAATAAGTTTAATTAAATATCTACAAGACAAAAGTTATATTGTCAAGTCATAAACCAAACCCTTTAATGCGAATGCAGGCAAATTTTAATACGTGTGCTAGAGGGTAGGATTCAGCCTCTGAAATTCAAAGTGCCAGGGGCCTGCCTAATATCTTCACATGTGCCATCCCCAAAACTTATATGCAAGGGAGGGGGTCCCCAAAGTAATTTGAGGTTACTTTTCTATCATCTGGGAGAATGGAGGAGCAAGAGTTCAGGTAAGATACAGAAAAATGAAGTTATGTTCCCCACACATTCCTTTATAAATGCAGTTCCTGAGTCGCAGCTGTCACCTTGCAATGCTGTCTTCAAACTCTTTTTGAGGGGGCTGGGGGACTCAACCTATCCTTCAACACTCGTCACATGACAGTGGTTGGGTTCACTAGCCTTCCATCCTTTCATACCTCTGGACTAGAGATCTGCCACTTCCTCTTCCTTTGGTCCTAAATGAGTTAATCAATGTGACTTTAAGGAGAGAGCTGGGTTCAAGTCTAGCCCTGCCATAGCCTCACTGCTGATCCTAGACAGATCCCATCTCCCTTCTGGCCAAGTCTCAGTCTCTTCGTGTGTGAAATGGAAAAACATTGCCTCCTGGAGCCATTGTGCAGACCATGGGGGCCACAGCTATGTGAGCACTGCTTTTTAAACTGACTACAGAACCGATGTTGGGGTTTGACTAAGAAAACAAAACCAAAAGAAAAAAGATTTGTGTTACACTATGTGGAACCAGGGAGCTGGGTTTCATAATCAGCCCTGAGCTATGCCTAGGGGAGGTAAAGTTTGATTTTCCCCATGGTCTTTTTGCCAGGGCTCAACCTCTTTCACCCCCTGCCCCAATCAGTAGAAAGGAAGGGGTACACAACTGGTGAGGAAGCAGGTTGGGGTGGGTAGGGGAGCTGAGCAGGCTTGGCTCTGGGAGGCCTGAGTCAGCGGGCAGGGAGGGGCCAGTCTTCACATGCTTGGGGAGGAGATGGTGCAGGAATGCTTCCCGCCCAGGCCCAGGCCCAGGCCCTGCCCACTGCATCCTGGCTCCTGATCTTGTGGACGCTGCAGCTCAGCTCCAGCTTGCGAAATGGGAGGTGTCTGAAGCTTTGTTAGATGGGTTCATCCAAGGGCCTTCAGAGGCAGGCTGCCCTGGGGACTCGCTCAGGGGTGGGCAGGGACAGGCCACAGAACCTGCTCAGAGCTAGGATCTAGCACCAGAGTATCCCCTGCCCTGCTAGGTGGTATGGCCGGCAGCCACTGCTCACTGGGCCTCAGGTTCTGCTTGTGCAATGAAGAGCTGAACTTGTAGGTGTCTGATTATCCCAACTGTACCCTTCGCAGGGATGCTTATCCCACAAAGCTCTCACCTGGGATCTCTGATGGGTTGGCCTAGGGGCCTGGGAGATGGTGCAAGTGCGGTCCAGGCATGGCCAAGCTTGTGACATCTCTGCCCTGTGCATGTGTGACTTTGTGGCTGTGTACATCTGAGTGTGTCATCATGTAAGGCCGTGACCGTGTGGTATGGCTATGTGTGACCAAGCAGCTGAAACTGATGCTATGATGATGGTAACACACTTGGAAGTAGCAGAGTGTGACCATGGTTGTAAACATGTAACACTGTGCGGCAGGGCAGCTGAGCTGCAACTGTGAGCACACAAGCGTGCAGGTGTGGCCTCCATATCCATGCAACTGAGTGTGGTTGTGTCTGCTGCTGTTGTGCTTCAGAGACTAAGCAATCATGTCTGAGACGGTGTGGGTGTGTGGATGACATGCAGCTCTGTCACCAGATGGGGACTTGGTGCAGGGCTGAGGCCATGGTGCCACCTCTCTCAGGCCTGGCTCTGCTCCAACCAATGGCACAGCCACGGCACATGGGTTCATAGCCTTCCTGTGTCCAGGCGGTGACGGACTGCAGGAGCTGAGGTCTGCATCCATCCCCAGCCCCCACCTGTGGTCACAAAGCAGACTCCTTTTCCTGGGCTGGGCCAAGATTGGGGACCAGAGATTCCCCCACCCCCAGGTCCTGGTAGCTGCCCATGGCAGAAAGAGAAGCCTTGTTTTCCACCCCCACTCTGAGCAAAGTGAGGGAGGAAACTGGAGGCAGCTGGACCCAGCTCAGTCTGAACATCTGCCTGGTCTGAGATGAGGCCAGACAGCAAGCCCTGCCACCACCAGGATGGCCTCAATGCCTTGCTAAAAAGGGTTCAGTTAGCCCAGACAACCCCAAATTGCCCCAACACTCCAACCCATAGAGAGACAGATATTCTCAGACATCCTCACTCCCCACCACACACATCTGCCCCAGTCCAGAGGCCTCAGGATGCCCAGAGCAGGCCTAGCCCCATCCTAAGACTTCACTTTCTGATTCTTCTCCTAGATCCAAGCCCCCCTGAGAAAAGTATCAGCCCAACTGCCTAACCCTGATGATGACAGCCATGGTAGGTAACCCCCCCCCCCCCCCGTCAAGGAAGGGACACAGGAGGGCAACACTGCTCCCAGAGCAGGAAGCATAAGTAGGGGACTTTTCGGCTCGGCGCCTGTGGCTCAAGTGGCTAAGGCGCCAGCCACATACACCTAAGGTGGCAGGTTCGAATCCAGCCCGGGCCTGCCAAACAATAATGATGGCTGCAACCAAAAAAATAGCCAGGCATCATGATGGGTGCCTGTGGTCCCAGCTACTTGGGAGGCTGAGGCAGGAGACTTGCTTGAGCCTAGGAGTTGGAGGTTGCTGTGAGCTGTGATGCCATGACACTCTACCCAGGGGGACAGCTTGAGGCTCTGTCTCAAAAAAAATAAAAATAAAAATAAATAAAAAATAAAAAAAGTAGGGGACTTTTCCAGGCACTGTGGGTTGAGAAGATTCCCAGCAACCCTGCCCAGACTGGCCTGGGAAGGAAAATCCCCACCCTGTGCTCAGAGCGCCCTCTAACAAAAGGCCACATGGAGGTTAAAGCTGAGTAGAGGTTAAGGGTGGGAAGTTTCTTGGATGGGCTAGAAAAGGAAGGAGGGCAAGGAGGAGGGAGGGGAAAATTCCTCAAAAAGTCCCAAATCTGACCTAATATTGACCCAGGGCCAGGGGGACCCACTCCAGAAGTTCAGATGCTTTTCCCCCAAACAGGGAGCCCTGCCCACCACCTGCTGGCCCTTCCCCATCTCCCCTGCCACAAGCTTCCGGGCCCCTGACCTGGCCAAAAGCCTAGAAGCCTAGAGCCTGGAAGTCTTGTCTCCACCGTGTCCCCACTGCCTCTGAAAGAGAAACCACATCTAAGCCAGTGTTCTTCTCTCTTCTGTGGATGAACAGGCTCCTGTCCATCTTGACCAGGGCACCCCCAAAGGCACAGCCGGGGTCCTTTTCAGTTTCCAACATATAGCCACGGCAGGGTTGGGTGCCCAGGATGGCTTGGGGGAAAGACACAGTTTCTGAGTCCCCCCCGACCCCTGCCTTTCCTGCTTTGCACTAGGGCTTTCCAGGACATGGCTCCTTGGGGAGAGGAAACACCCATCTATTAGGATGTCCTGGGGCACAGCCTCCCAGCCCTTCTTCACATAATCCTCAGTCCTAGATCAGGGAGCAGCACAGCCAAAGCCCTGGGCAGCATTTCACCCATTTCAAAGATGAGGAGTGTGAGGTCTGGGGAAGGAACGCAGCCAGCCAGGGTCTAAGGCCACCTCCAGCCCTTCCTGCCAGTTAACATCTCCCATTGGCACAACTGCCCCCGACTTTTGAGGTTCTGTGATAAATTTTTGCCCACTGTGATCTCAGAATCTGTTCCAAAGGCTCCCAAGAGTAATCAGAGTTCTATATTTGCCCCACCCTCATCCCTTCTGGGATCCAAACAGAAAATCATGTTTTTGTTGTCTTCATTGTAAAAAGTTTATCAAGGAAAAAGGGAAGAAAAAGATTCAAGCAGCAGCAGCCAGGAGCAGACCAGGACCCCTGGTGGGGGGTGGGAGCAGTGGTGGCACAGGTCAGCTCCCCAGACAAGCTGCTGGACCACACCCTGGCCTGGGGCAGGAGGAGGCAGTAACTCCTTGGGGATGTAAACATAGGTCCAAGACAGCACAATCTGACCAGAAGCTAGAGCACACATCACAGTGAGGCTGGTGGCAGGGAAGTAGGCCTGGAATCCCTGGAATGGTGGTAAGCGGGCCCCTGTCTTTTTCCTCTTAAGTTTCCCACTGTGTAACTGGGAGGACTGGGGGAAGACAGTGCCTCAGAGGTCAAGGATCCTGGGAGCCTGAGGTCTGGGCCTGCTTGGAGTGTGGAGAGTTATTGCTGGTGAACTCAAACATATGATAATTGGGGGGAGTCTTCTCCAGGAAGGTGCCACTAGGTCTCTAGAGCCCATAGTGTGTCAGCACCTTGAGCCCAAGGCAGGTGGGATGCAGCACAGTCCCCTAACCAAGAGGATGGGGCTCAGCAGTGGGGTGCACCCAGAGGCCTGCAGGAGGGAGCTGGCCTGCAGTCCCTCCTCTGGGGGACAGGGTGAAGCAAGGAAAGCCAGGGCTGCAGGTGGCTGCCACAAGGCTACAGTTTGGGAATTGGGTCACCAAACTTGCTCAGGAAAGGTAAGGGAGAGAAGTTGTTTTTGTGCCTCTGTCCCTTTACCAAGCTGTTCTGCTCCCCTGAACGTCCTCCTCACTGTAGGGCAAAACACTGCTTGAATATTGCCTCTGCGTAGGGTCTTCCCTGACCAACAGAATGCTGTTGTCCCTCTGAGATTCCAGGAACCCCTGATTTAACCATCTGTCATACTGCCTATCTCTTGTCTGTTTCTGTGTCTGACCCCCACCTTGACTGAGGACTCCTCAAGGGTGGCACGTCAAAGCCCTGGGTGCCTAGCATCTGACCCAGGGCCACAGCAGGCTTCAGTGTTTGCTGAGGGGACAAGGGGTGGTGGCCAGATGAGTAAGCACTATAGGCTCTAGAGGAGGCTAAGAACCTAGCCCAGACTGCACAGATCAACAGCCCAGACCTTGGCCTAGAGGGTTCCTGGCCCCATTCTTATCCCAGCTGTGCCCCTACCTCTAAGGGATGAACAGTTCCCCTGGGGTACCCATGACTCCTTAAAAGCTCCTTCTCCCAGGAGGCCACAGGCAGTTTACCTCACCCCACAATGACTACCCCTCCAGCTACTGCCAGGACAGGGAGACTGGGACACAGGATGCACTGCAGCGACCAGGCCCGGGGGCAGGGAGGGTCCGGCACACTGGTCAGAGGCTGTCGTACATTCGCAGGGTCCTCTCCAGCTGCTGGCCCACCCGCTGGTAGAAGAGGATCTGCTGGCGCAGGTAGCTCTGCATCATGTGCTTGAAGTCGAGCTCACGGCGCTGGTGGAAGTGGTTCATCTCGGCCTGCAGGGCGAAGCCCACCACGCGGCAGCGCCTGCGGATGCCGTCAGCCTCGTCCTGCGCCATGCGGCCCTCGTCACTCATGCGCTGGCTTTCCTTCACCTTGGCAAAGGCGCCTGGCCAGGCAGAGCAGAGGCAGCAGGTTAGGGCCCAGCTCCTCTCTACTTGCTCCTCTAGCCTCCCAATACCCCACAAGAGCAGACAACACCTTCATCAGCTCAATTCAGACCTCACTCCTGAACTCCATGGTACAGCCATCTAGACGTCTCTGCCAGGAGGTTCCCCAGACCCTCACCCTTCCTATATCCTAACCAAACACACTATCTTCCCTCCAAATCTGTAGCATCACCAGCAGCCCACATCTGACCTTTGTAGACTTATTTATTTCCAGGACTAGGTTTTTCCTGTCCCTACCCTCATCATTTCTCACACTGGCTCCTAATTCAGCTCAAACACCACCTCCTCCAGGAAACCTTCCCTGCACTGGATACCTCCCAAAGCTCTCAGGCTCCTTGGGATTCCTTCTACCACAGCTGTCTCCACCCCATGGTTTCTCTGACTGCCTCTCTCTGGACTGTAAACTCAATGAGGACAGGGCCTGTCCTCATCCTCTCTGTGTCTCTAGTCCCCAGAACAAGGCCACGTGTCTGCTGAACTGATCCAACCCCATCCTTCACCGTACACCTGCACCAGTCCCCCACAGCCTCCCTGCCCTCAGTGCCTCTGAGAGGTTCCAGACAGTGCCCAAAAGGGTCCTCTAATTTGGGTACCTTCCCCAACTCCCCACTGACTACAGCTCAACGTCTGTATCCACCTACCTAGCCAGGAGACCCTCTGGGAGTTGGCTCCCGCATGCATTTCATTCTGACCCTATGTTCATCAGACTCACTCTGTTCTTTTTTTTGCCTTCCTACTTCTTCCTACTGGATCCCTATTCATAATTCAAGGCTTCATCAGGCGCAAATTCTACAGTAGAGCCTCCTGCAGTTCCCCAAGGGAAAATGTCTCCCCCATCTCACTCTCCCCTGCCTCCCATCCCCACCCCATCAGCACTTCAAAGGCCACATGCTGTGTCTCCCCTTTCAGACCCTGCTCCATCCTCACCCTAACTCCCAGGGGACTAGAGGAGGCTTTAGTAACAACCAGGTGACAGATGGGAGACGATGAACCTGGGTAGGACTAAATTTGGAAAAATCTGAATGAATCAACAAGCAGTTGGTGAATGAATTTCAGTTCTGAATTAAAAAGCATTTGACTAATCTGCCTGCAAGTCAGGGGGGATAATTGCTAAAAGGGAAGGCAGTGTTCCTGTGCCCAGAACTGACTCCTGAGGAATACTGGGAATTTCCTGAGGGATACTGGGAATTCACTGTGCAAAGATTAGGAGGTGAGAAGGGTTGTCATGGAGGACAACACATACCTTGAGCGCTTCAAATGCACCCATTGAATACAAACAGCGTGCTCATTATCCATGCTTTCCACTTCTCCTCAAGGAGGGTTCTTGAGGGCCTTCTAGATGGTATTCCTTTGACTCTCATTCAAGTTGCCTGATGCATTCAAAATGCATTTTTTGAGCACTTACTATATGCCAGGTCCAGGGATCCACATGCTAGAAATAACTCTGGATGCCTTTAAGAGGGTCAACACCCACATTAGTTGGCAAGTGCCTGGCTAATTGGCTACTGGTAGCTTTTCAGGCAGACTCAAGATCAGAGTCTTCAGGGGCTGCTCACACATTATCCAAAAGAAACCTACAGTCCTTAATTCCTAGCCCACTCAGTCCTTTTGCCACCTTCCCTAAACTACCCCTACTCCATCCCAACAGCCCAGCCCTGGACAGCAGAAAGGGATCACCCCGAGGCCTCGGAGGGACGCAGTAAGACAGCAGTCCCCAACCTTTTTGGCACCAGGGACAGGTGTCACTGAAGACAATTTTTTCACATACGCTGGGGGTAGGGTGGGTTTCAGGATGATTCAAGTGTATTACATCTCCACCTCAGATTACCAGGCATTAGATTCTCATAAGGAGCCGTAATCTAGAACTCTCACATGTGCAGTTTACAGTAGGGTCTGTGTTCCTACGTGAATCTAATGCCACTGCTGATCTGACAGGAGGCAGAGCTCAGGTGGTGGATACCAGCGATGGGGAGCAGTTGTAAATACAAATGAAGCTTCCTTGCTATGCAGTCTGGTTCTTGACAGGCCACAGCCAGGGAGTTAGGGACCAACCTGGAGATTGGGACTGCAACGGTAAGAGAGTTCGCAGCTGGTGAGGTGCTAGAAGTTAGCTGTTCAACCCCCATCCCCACCCCCACCCTGATATGTACAGAGGAAGCCAAAGCCCTGAGAGGGGGATCCCCCTTAAGTTAGGGGGCGGTACCTGGCCCTCCACAGCAGGTGCTGGAGCCTCCAGGACTATGTGTGGGACCTCCAGACAATGGACAGAGGGATTCAAAAGGTCCCAAAGGACAGGAACGACCCGTAAGAAAAAAGGTAGAAAATAGCAGAACAAAGAAACTAGAGTTAAACTTCAGTAAAAAGAACTTACCTAAGTAAGGAAACTCTGAACTAGCCTATATTCCACCTGCCTGAGAAAATCTGGGTGTAGTGAGAGTGGATCTATATACCTGAGGCTTTTACCTGTCTTTGGCCTTGGAGGAAGAAAAAGCCCCTTTCGGCTAATGAGGAGTCTGAGGCCCAAATAGTGGAAAAGAGCCTACTGCAACTGCTGTGTAACCAAAGACAGACAGAGGGGACACCAAAGGCCACAGGAGTAGGAGAGAGGCAGAGGCCCCACCCTGCTCTCCGTCACTTCTCCACCCTGTGACTCAGTTCTGGGGCCAGGACCAGCTAATACTAACACACCCCACCCACCAAGCTGGCAATCAGGGCTCAGGCCTATCCCGCATCCCCCCCTATATTCTACATAGGACTCAAGCTGAGGATCCAAATGAGCCTCCTGCCTCAGCAGTTCTCCGGCAGGCTGAGTCCCAGGAAAGGGAAAAGGAGTATTGGAGCCCACCAAGTGCAGAGACCCAGGGTCCCAGGCAGAGTCCCTAAGCCTCAATCCATCTTGCCCTTACCTTCTTTTTTTTCTTAAGATAGGAGTCTCCTTTTGTTGACCTCAGTAGAGTGCCGTGGTATCATAGCTTACAGCAACCTCAAACTCTTGGGCTCAAGTGATCCCCTTGCCTCAGCCTACCGAGTAGCTGGGACTACAGGTGCTGGCCACAATGCCCGGTTTTTAGAGATCAGGTCTCGTTCTTGCTCAGGCTGGTCTTGAACTCCTGAGCTCAAGCGATCCACCCACCTCAGCTTCCTAGAGTGCTACGATTACAGGCATAAACCACCGCATCCAGCCTGCCCCTACCTCTTGGTGGTAGGTACCAGCCACCCCAGGTTGGGGGGGCAGGAGGTCTGAGTTCTAGTCTCAGCTGTGTCCCCTCCAGCAAGCCTCTACTCTCACCTGGGCTGCATATCTCCCCATGTCAAATAGGCTAGGTTGAACTAGATGTGATGCTATTGGTAACTGCTCACAACAATATAGTGTTTTAGAATTTCCATACCTATAAAATGTGATAATAGTACCCGCCCTGTGGTATAGTTGTACACAGTACCAAGGACCTCACCTGACATAGAATAAGGGCTCAAGATGCTACAGGGTATGGTATGCAAACTGCTTTTTTATCCATGAGCTTGCAGCAAGTACTGGCTGGTGGTGGCTCATGGCAGTATTTTTCTCTTTGTTTTTGTTAGCCTAGCAAGGGAAGTAGAAGGAGGGTTAGATGATGGCTCAGAACTATCAGAGGCTGGACCCATCTGTCCCCTAGGCAAGGGCTTGCCCCTACAAGAGCCACTTTGCCTTGGCCAAGCTGTGAGCCCATGGATGCTCTGTGGTCCTGGGCCTACCTGTAGTCCCCGAAGATGCCAGCTGAGTAAGTGCAGGGGCACCAAAACTTGCTGCCTCCCTCCTCTTTCCCCTTCTGGCTCATCTACCCCAGCTGTCCATCTCTTGAGGAGCTCTAGCCCCCATCTGTCTGGCACAGTGGAAACAGCCTGAGCTGGGGAGTCAGACACAGCAAAGCTTAAACTTCTGCTCTGCATACAGTCTCATCTCACTGTGCCTCATCTGGAAATGAAAGCTATGACATTGACTTCCCTCATCTGGAAATGAAGGCTATGACATCAACCTCCTGACTTATGATGAGGCTTAAGGAGAATTCATGGCCTTGCTGGCTCTCAAGTGGGGACCATAGGTCTTAGCTTGCCCTGGACAGTCATTTTCCCCTTGTTGCCCCATGATAACTATTTTTAGGCCCCTTTTACCCCTATAACTGCCCCAGTTTAAACATCTAATTATATGTATAATTATAGTATACATATCTTAGGAGACATCTGGACTGGGCTCCAGTGGGCAGACCTCTGGTGGGCCTCATTTCAGCTCCAGCTAAACTTCATGTCCCATTTTATTAATATAGAGACTCTCAGCTTGGCGCCTATAGCTCAGCGGCTAGGGCACCAGCCACATATACCAGAGCTAGCGAGTTCAAACCCAGCCCAGGCCTGTTAAACAGCAATGACAACCACAACAAAAAAAATTAGCTAGGCATTGTGGCGGGCACCTGTAGTCCCAGTTACTTGGGAGGCTGAGGCAAGAGAATCACTTAAGCCCAAGAGTTTGAAGTTGCTG